TGCCGTGGCAGCTCAGGTGTGTCGACGTTTTGGTTCTACCGTTCATTTCTCTCCTTCTGGTTCAAACAAAGAGTTCTTCTTGGTGGTAAACTTCTCTTCGGCAAGTTTCCCTCTCAATGATGATTCGGTTGCTATTGCCCTCCAATGCTGTATTGGGGGCCTCCCTTCTGGACTCAACGTGACACATATTGATGGACGAAGATTTCGTTTTTCTGTGGCTTCCAATAAAGTTGGGCATTACATCTATGGTCTCAAGGATAGAGTATGGCCGGATTTTGTTTGCCACTTCAGTCTTTTCCGACAGAGCAAAACTGGTATTTTGGCAATGGATTCATCATGGCATCTTGATTCTCACATTCCAGAGGTGGCTGCTCGTTCTCCTATTGCTATCAAGTCTAAATACAAGTTCTCTACACAGCAAGACAAGGTTTTGAGCACATCAAGTCTGGTTTTATCTAAATTTGGTTTCCCTCCTACGGAGGGATTGGTTTCCAGCCTTGATCCGTCGCCGGACGGCTCATCGCCGGCAGCTCAGTCGTCGGAATCGGTTATTCCGGGGCCGACAGATAGACAGACATTTACTCAGGGCATTAACCAACACTCCTTGTCTTCGGCCATCATCTTTGGGACATTCAAATCACCCATTACTACGGGGAATAATGATGTTAATGGGATAAGGCCTATTAATTACAGATTTGCAGGTTGTCGGTTTAAGGAGAATGCACGGAGCAGTATTCCGAATTTTATGCTCTTCCATATTTTGGACCAACGTCATTTTGGTTATTCTGATTCACATATTGCCAATATCTGGTCTCTATCATCGGTCCCTCCCTCGGTTTACATTTATGGGAGGCTCAATTTGTGCTCCTCTTGTAATTCGCTGGGCCACCTAGCTTCTGCATGCCCAGGCGAGATTTGCTCTATCTGTCTTAATGACAGTTGCTGTTATCCCACACCCGCTAGTCGGGTGAATCCTGTCCAGCCCACCATCGATCAGGCTGTGGGCTCTGGGCCACAATTGATCTTGCGGGCCTGTACTATTTGTGGATCACATACCCACCTTTTTTTTCAATGCCCGGCCTATCTCAAATGTGAGGCTTGTTTCTTCTTGGGCCACACCAAGCGTAACTGCTATGATCCTAAGGCCAAGCACTATTTTTGGAAGCCCAAGAATGCTAAGAAATCTGATATTCATTTATCTGGAGCAGCAAATCTTATTGCCAATACTTTCAAAGGCAAGAATCCTATTTCTCCTTTTTTTGATATGGAATCATTACCCTGCTTACCTTCTACTAGCAGCACTGCCACGGCCAACTTGGGAAACGGGAGGCTAATTGATTTTGGTCTAGTCAAATCAGGGGCTGCACAGATTCCTTCCTCTAGCAAGCATTTACCTTAGTCACCTACTTTGCGCCCCACAGCTCGACCCAAGCAATCCTCGACCGTTCATTGCAATATCTGCGGCTGGCTTGGACACGTGCCATCATCCTGTCTCCAGGGGCGGCGCTCCAGCAAAGAAAATTGGCTACACAATCAGTCCATACCCCCTGCCGATACGCATTCCACCTCGCCGCGCGTGCATTCCTCTGCGCATGCTCAGCTCCTCCCTCCTCCACCAACAATGGCGAATTTCCCCATCAACATCCTCCCCTACCTGCCACAAGGAATGATGGTGGAGCTTGGCCCAGCTGATCGTAAGGTGAGATCGGACATGGTGGTCAGTGCGGTACCTCCCCTGCGCCAAGACTTCTTGGCCATTGCGGAGGCAAATAGGTTCATCCCGCGGCATCAGAAAGAAGCCCTCAGAGATACCATCCAAGGTTTGCTCCATGAGTCTCATTTCTTCCCTACTGAAGTTGAAGATCACCCTCTAGGGATTGGTATTTTTGGATTTGATGACTCCCTCGTTAGAGATTTTGTCGTCGGAACCACCTTTGAACTAGAGGAGATGCAAACTGATGAGCACACGGTGATTTCTTTTGTTCCTCATGACGCTGCCTTAACATGAGGCTTACCACTTTTGGCCCGAAGATTTGGATCTTGTACGTTGGATTTCCCTATGACTATCAAACCCAGCATTACATGCATAAGTCTGTGGATACTTTCGGTACTCTGCTTGAATGGCATAATCCCAGGAGTGACAGGCGTTTTGTGCTCCTGAAGGCCAGGGTCATTCATCTTAGATTGGTCCCTAAGAGCATTGTGATGAGGCAGATTG